GGAAGTATTGCGAGAAATGGGCAAAGAATGCGAAATAATAAACACAATAAAAATAAGAAAGTTACAATATCTGGGACACGTAATGAGGGGACAGCGATATGAACTTCTAAGGCTGATAATACAGGGAAAGATAACAGGAGGAAGGAGTATAGGAAGAAGGAGAGTGTCATGGTTGAAGAATTTAAAGGACTGGTTTGAATGCAGTTCTATAGAACTCTTCAAGCAGCAGTAGATAGAGTAAAGATAGTGATGATGATATCCAACCTACCAATTGGGAGACCACACTTAAAGAAAATACATGATGTTGATTTCATAGGGATTTCGAAATAAAAATGGTCATAACTTTTTAAATACTCTGTATAGAAATGCGAAACCCAATACTATAAGAACGACAATTATGAGAATACAAATTTGAAAAAATATATAGGGTGTCCCATTTAAAAAATTGTATGTTTGCTGTACTAACCCTGTATCCTTATCCGAGTATGGAAAATATTATTGCCTACATTTTTTCTAAATAAGTTTTTTGGATATCTTGCACCACAATGGAATTATCGACCTATGTCACACTAAAAACTCACCCTGTATCTTCAAATTTACTTAGCAATTACGTTTTTTTGTCCACACTGTATAAGGTAAGTGATATAATCGATTACGATCATATCTGGCATATATAATTAAAATTAACACAACAAAAACACGTTTTTATTTTAAAATATTTAATATATTTTGACTAAAAGTTTCACACAAATACCAACAGTCAAAACGGTTTAGATTTTTGTTTACTTTGATTTCCAAGACGTTTATAGTCTGTAATTTTAAGTAATATACAACATACAAAATGGTCAGGTAACTTTTGTTGCTCTGTATTAGTATTAATAACGCTAATTATTGCACACTCACTCAGATTCTTTAATAAAAGTAGAAAATGTCACAGTTGCTTTTCGTTATGTTAACGAAAATTTTAGTAAAGCTAAAATTAATATTATTACAAAAATTAATATCAAAGTTACCAAACCTCGCCGATTTTCACTGCGCCGAGCTTTCGACGCTTCTTCTTTAGGGCTTCCGTGATCTCAGCCTCCTGAGTCCCCAGATCTCTTCACTACACTGTTCACTACTCACTGCGCTGCACTGCACAACTCCACAGTAGTGCAGTGACCAGTGAACAGAAGTAAAGTGATCTGGAGGCTCCAGAGACTCCAGAAGCGCTGACGAAAACTTCAAGATGAAGTAGAACTCGTAGTACTGAAATTTGACGAGGGCCAACCCGGAAACTAGGTCAGTTGAAAATAATTTTTGGCATATTAATCTTAGCTAATATCTCAAAGTATCTCAAAGGAATATACTCACATTGAAGTATAGTTAGTGGTTTACAGCGTAAAATACAAAAAAATCCAATATAAATAAACGGTAATTTTGTAAGACCAACTATAATCTAGGACATTGGAAGATGAAAATCTAAGAAGAAACAAAAATACTTGAAGAAACTAGATCATTAATCACTTAAATTGAATAAAAAAGTTATATTTACTGCAGTTTGGATTTCTTAGTTAGTTGTACTGATAGAAAGATACCAGCATTTGAACCAAGACATCTAAAACGGCTTATTTCCTAGATTATCGTAAAGATTTTAGAAGTTTAATTTAAATTAAGATAAAGGGTGAAACAGGGATGTGTTCTATCACCCATGCTGTTTACCACATATTCCGAACACATCTTTCAGAGAGGATTAGAAAGTAAGTACGAGATGACCAGAACATGAATAAATTGTTTCATCACTGACGAATGGAAGTGTTAAACAAATTATAAAAAATTGTATCAGTCTAGATATTTCTAAGAAAGTTTTGATTTTTAAAATAAAAAAAAAACGAAAAGCAACTGGGACATTACAAGTTTTGTTTCCGCGAACATTTTCTCAACGTTTTGATACTTTTTAGTACCACCAAGGTGGATCTTAGAACCAACCGATAAAGCTTTTGCACAAGGCTCTGATGCTGTTGTCGAATGCAAAGCTGATGGATTCCCAAAACCTATTGTAACATGGAAGAGAGCTACAGGTACGTATCTATATGTTTTTCTTACTTTTGTCCACTATGTTTATTCGTGAAGAGGGCGTAACGAATTTTGAATGTATCCTTTTCCTTAATGGTCAATATATTTCTTACAATTTTCAGTTTCTTTAATTATTACATACAGTGTGTAAAAGCCAAATGGAATAAATTCATTATTTAGGTTACTGTACATATTTATAAAAAATCCCGAAACATGTCAAATTTAAATTACAACTTGACATTCTTTAACGTGAAAATGCAACCCCTACCTTCAACCCCCTTAGAATGACAGGTACAACCCCCAATTTTTAAAATAGGAAGTATAGGCTTGTGATATATCGTTTGAAAGGTCTTTTCATTCTCCATTCAAAAATGTTGTCGCTTTCAAGTTTATTAAGATTAATTAAGATAAAATAAATTAAAATCATGTGGTTACCGAAATTCGCTACAATACAATCAAAAACTAAAATGTAATGCGTAATCACGTAATAAAATGTAGAACACGAAAAAGAACTATGAATGTTAATGAAGTAGATGTTCAAAATGTTCACCGCGAACGTCTTGGCAATATCCTAATCTCAAATAAAATTGTCTTCTAACATTATTTAACATAACAGGCGTGATCGACCTAATCGCAAGCGTTATTCGTTCTTTTAAGTCATTTAAATCAGAAGGTTTAGTTTTGTACACATGGCTCTTCACATATCCCCATAAAAAGAAATCTAATAATGTAAGATCAGGTGATCGCGCTGGCCATTCAATCGATCCTCGCCTCCCTATCCACCGATTGGGAAATATTGTATCGAGGTACGGCCGGACATGAAGTTGGTAATGTGGTGGTGCTCCATCCTGCTGAAACCATATCGTATTCGCTGGAACTTAAGGGTTTCCTGGATCAGGATATAAATTTGCCAATGTTGGAATGACATCATTTTGAAGTAGTGCCAAATAATTGTTGCCATTCAAGTTGCCCTCAATGAAAAAGGGACCAATGATATTGTTTCCTACAATCCCTGCCCAAACATTAACCTTTTGAGGGTATTGAGTGTGTTCTTCTCTCATCCAGTGAGGATTTTCCGTGGCCCAGTAGCGGCAATTTTGCCGATTAGCATGACCGTTAAGTGAAAAAGTACACTCATCAGAAAACATAACGTCTTCTAATTGGATAATATTGTTATCCAACATGTCCATCATTTGCTCACAAAAAAAAGTTCTCCTATCAAAATCGTCTTCCATGAGCTCCTGAGTAGGTATCATCTTATAGGGATGCAATTTATTTTCTTTTAATATGTTTACTATCGATGTATGGCTAGCATTGAATGTAGTGGATGCCTGTCTACTCGATGTATGTGGATTTTCCTGAAACTCAAGCAACACATCTAATTTGAGTTCATCACTCAGTGCATTGGCAGCTGCTTTTTTATCTGCCTCACATGACCAAACTAGCGAAACTGCTTCTCTATTTTACTTATTGCTCCTTGGGATATAGGCGGTAAATTAGGAAATTTCTCATGAAATAGGCGAGTTACTTCCTGTTGTGTTCGGGTGTTATCTCCGTAACTAATCATTTGTAAAACTGTTATTTTATGCATTTCCGTTAATCTAACCATTTTTCAGAATTAAATTGCACGAACTTTTTACTTAAATTAAAATACTGACAACTTAAATAAAACAATTTACTAATGTGTGTTAAAATAACGTTGCCACGGAAATTTTTTAAAGTTTTTTAATGGTTACCATCTAAAAACCACATTGCTATGGTTTTTGTTCACTTTCTCATTATCAAGACCTAAACGGGAAATAAGTTTTGAGTATATTTTAGCGAATTTCGGTAACTACATGATTTTAATTTATTTTATCTTAATTAATCTTAATAAACTTGAAAGCGACAACATTTTTGAATGGAAAATGAAAAGACCTTTCAAACGATATATCACAAGCCTATACTTCCTATTTTAAAAATTGGGGGTTGTACCTGTCATTCTAAGGGGGTTGAAGGTAGGGGTTGTATTTTCACGGTAAAGAATGTCAAGTTATAATTTAAATTTGTCGTGTTTCGGGATTTTTTATAAATATGTACAGTAACCTAAATAATGAATTTATTCCATTTGGCTTTTACACACTGTATAGTAGCTGGTATTAACAAAATGGCCTATATGTCTTGTATATCTAGCAATACTTATTTTTCTATCCAAATATCCATATATTTCCAGTTTTCCAAGGTATTTTATTGGCAAAAACGTCCTACACATCATATTATTTATTTTGATATTACTTTATCATCCAGTACTAGTTATCTTGGGTCTCTAAGCTCATGTGGTTAGCTTATAAAATACTACTTAAATCGCCCAATTCGTTTTGGTTGTTACCAAATCTTGCCTTTTTATCTTGTGCCTTTATTTTTTATTTTACTTCTATTAAAAACTTTAATACGACATTATTTTTCTAAGAATGTGTTCCATATTGTATCAGCTCGATCACATTCATTATTTTAACATACAACGTACACATTAGTACATACTACGAACCTCATCAAGGATGCCTCCAATGGATATGTTCTTTTAGGTCCTCTAGCTTTTTCTAAACGTACTTTTCTTGCGTACTCTAATAAATGTGATATCAATGTAACTTTTCATTGGACTAATTTATCTTCACTCTTTTTGTCTCATCATTGTACTCATTAGCGTAAATTTTACTTGGAATTTTCCTTTTTTATCACGTCTCTCTTTAAAACCTACCTTTCTATTTGTTGACGAAAACTCTCAGAAAATTTTCCCTATTTGTTACTTTGTCCAAGTTTACTCAAACCCCGTCTTAAATTCATTGCATTTTGCTCACTCGAGCTTTCGACCCACTCTGTGGAGTCATCTTCAGATTTTTTTCGTTCCAAGGCATCACTAAACGTAGACGTTTTGGTGTATAATAATACTTTTTGCTGTTTTAGGAGTGTCACCAGGAGATTACAAAGATTTTAAACCAAATAACCCAGACATTAAAGTTGAAGACGGAACTTTGACGATAAATAACATTCAAAAAACAAATGAAGGTTACTACTTGTGCGAAGCTGTCAATGGAATTGGTTCTGGATTATCGGCTGTTATCTTAATTAGTGTACAAGGTAAAAAATTAACGAAATGTTTAAATTACAGTTATATATAAACTTATTTTTAGCTCCTCCCCAATTTGACGTTAAATACCGCAACCAAACTTCACGACGTGGTGATCCAGCCGTACTCCAGTGCGAAGCCAAAGGAGAAAAACCAATCGGCATCATTTGGAATATAAATAACAAACGTCTCGAACCAAAGGGAGACAATCGATACACCATCAGAGAACAAATCTTGCCTAGCGGCGTATTGTCCGACTTGAGTATTAAACGTACCGAACGAGGAGATTCAGCGATATTCACTTGCGTGGCTACGAATGCTTTTGGTAGTGATGATACCAATATCAATATGATCATTCAAGAAGTGCCCGAAGTGCCATATGGTCTTAAAGTTTTAGACAAGTCTGGAAAAACTGTGCAGCTCTCTTGGGTGTCTCCTTATGATGGAAATTCTCCCATTAAGAAGTAAGTATCACTAATTAGTCTTCTTTAGGTGCCATTTGCTTAAAAAGGTTAGCAATCGGTTGATATTTGGTCTGGTATCAGAAGATGTATTAATTTTCATTGATCTTATTGCATAAATATCCTCTGCTTTAGTAATTTCAGGTTCTACATCTCCTCTTGTACTGTTTATAAAGATTTCTTTGTCTCAGGTTTTGAAATAATTTCTCTTGTCATCTGCATAATTTTTTTTTATGTTTTCATAATGACCTTTCCTGCTCTGTATAGCAGTATATTGCAGTTATTAATCGTTTTCTAATTTGTTTCTTACATTTTCTAACAGTAGTTTTTCCATTAGACTCTCTTATTTTTCTGTGTAACTGATAATGTTTCCCAAATTTCCTTCTTTCGTTCAGTATCTCCAGTATTTCATCTGTGATCCAGTCCTCAATTTTCCAAATCTTTGTTAAATTTTACTGATTTAAAAAAAAGTTTTCGTTTACTATCTGGGTACTTAAATTATACTTATTTTTTGTATTATTAATCAAAAACCATTTCTGTAGGTTCTTAATCGAATACAAACCAAGCAAAGGAAGTTGGGACAAAAACTCCGAAAGAGTACTCATCCCAGGAGATCAAACCGAAGCCGGCATTTTCACCCTTCGCCCAGCCACCACATACCACATTAGAATCATCGCTGAAAACGACATTGGCTCGAGCGACCCCTCCGACACTGTTACCATCATCACTGCTGAAGAAGCCCCAAGTGGTCCACCAACCGGAATCCGAGTAGAAGCCGAAGACCAACATTCCATGGGTGTTTTCTGGAAACCTCCATTGAGAGATCATTGGAACGGCGATATCCAGGGATATTATGTAGGTTATAAACTAGCTAACACTGACAAACCATACTTGTTCGAAACTGTGGAAATTCAACGAGAAGATGAAGCCAAAGAACACACTCTAAAGGTACTTGTTTTTTCCAAATTTGACTGAAAACTCCTTAACTTTGTATTATTTTTATCGCAGATTACGAACCTTAAGACCTACACCCAATATTCGGTGATAATTCAAGCATTCAACAAGGTTGGCGCCGGTCCCACGTCGGAAGAACTGAAAGCCAATACAGCCGAAGGTGTACCCGAACAGCCTCCAGAAAAAACCACGTGCACCACTCTTACAGCTCAGACTATAAGAGTCTCTTGGGTGTCACCACCACTTACATCTGCGAACGGCGTAATCAAAGGGTACAAAGTCATCTATGGACCTTCTGACTCTTGGTTTGGTAAGTTTGTATTCAGATATAAATGTATTTGTAATATAATTAGTGAAGGAGAGGAGACGGCTGTGAAATTTACAGGAGCGAAAATAGTAAATGAGAAAGGAGCGATGTAGCACGGTGATTTTGTTAAATTTGACACCATTATATGTATCGTAAATTAGTTATATTTTTCCCGTCTAGATTTATTATTTCAGGTAACCTGGTACGAACACCTGCATACGACCACATATTACACATGTATATTGAGGGCACTTGAAGGCTTAACGACATTTTATTACGTTTTATGTCAAATGTCACGTATTATGTCACGTTTTATGCCAAATGTCACATAGAATGTGACATGTGACATAATACGTGACATTTGATATACAGCGTAACATAATAACCTGCCCATGCCTTTCTTCTTCTTCTTCTTGTGCCGTCTTCTAACGAAGGTTGGCGATCACTTTTTTAAAAGCTTCTCGATCTTTTGCAACGTGAAATATCTGTTCAACACTGAGGTTAGTCCAATCTCTGATATTCCTCAGCCAAGATTTCTTCTTTCTTCCCAAGCCTTTTCTTTCCTCCTACTCTACATGATGACATGTCTACGCATGATGACATGTCTGCGCATGATGACTTGTAGCAGAGAGTATTTATCGTTCAGAGTATGTGGCCCAGATACGATGTTTTTCTTATTTTAATTGTGTTCATAAGCTTTCTGCCACTTCCTGTAACACTGTAACACTTCCTCATTTGAGACTTTTGCAGTCCAAAGGAATCTTCAAAATACGCCTTATGGCCACATTTCGAGTGCTTCATCATCCGGGATTTGGACCATCGTGATATATTTTACTAAATAATTGTAGTTAGACACTCTAATATTTCATCATTCAGGATTTTAATATCTCTACAGGAATTTCATCAGGACCAGGCGCTTTACCACTTTCTGAGATTTTAATAGCCTGTTTAACCTCTGATATCAGAATTTTTAGATTTTCATTAGTTGGTAATGTATCATTTATTTCTTCCCTATTATCTGCGAATAAGTCCTTGATGTATTTCTCCCAAGTTTGTTGTTTTTCTACTGCTGATAATTGGAGATCCCCCTTGGAGTTTCGTATAACTTGTGGTATTCTCTTCCGATTATTTCCTGTAATTTCTTTCAGTTTCTTATATAGCCCATGTGTGTCGTGTTTCATATTAAGTTCTTCTATTTCTCTACAATTTTCTACCATCCAGTGTTCTTTAGCTTCCTTGATCTGCGTTTCTACTAGTTTCTTCATTTGCTTGTACTTCTCTTTATTTGTATTTTTGTATTTTCGTTTTTCTTCTATGAGGTTTATAATATCTGGTGCCATCCAGTCTTTTTTGGCAATTGGTTCCTTTTTACCCACAAACGTTTTACCAGCGTTAAGTACTGCCGATTTCATTTCGTTCCAGGCACTATTAATATCTTTTTTTGATGCCTCTGCGAATGCTGGTGCAACTGCTTCATTTATTTGTTGTTGACATTTTTCAACCTCAAGTTTTGACAAATCTAGTCTCTGAATTCTACTTTTTTTCTGTTGTTTTCTCAGTTTAATATTAACGTTGGCAAGAAGTAGATTGTGGTCGGAGTCTGCATCAGCACTAGGATATGTGTTAACGCTTTTAATTCCATTTCTTAATCTTTTGTTGACAAAGAATGTAATCGATTTGGTTTCTTATCAGATTATTATTGTTGTCTCCTGGTGCACTCCAAGTATAATCTTCTTGGTAGTAATTGACAAAAGGTGTTTGTGATGACTAGTTCTTTCTCTTGACAATATTGTACTAATTGGTCTCCTCTTTCATTTCTAATTCCTAGACCATAATTCCCACGATATCTTCTACTTTCCCTTTACCGACTTTGGCGTTAAAGTCGCCCATTATTATGTTGACTTCATGTTTTTTTATGTTTTTCGTTAGTTGTTCTAAATCTGAATGGAATACATCTATGTTATTATCGGTTGCTGCTTGATGTTGGAGCATAAATTTGAATTATGTTTATGTTTATTGGGTGGGTTTTCAATTGTAACATTATTATTCTTTCAATTATAGGGAATACAATTTGAGACATACGGTTGTAGTGCTTTTTTTATTATGATTCCTACACCAGTTTTTTGATCACCAGTACTGCCCGAGTAATAAAGAACAATGTCGTTGTGATAACACTGTCCAGCACTGGGCCATCTTACTCCGTTAAGGCCAAGTATACCTATTTCAAATCTGCTCATTTCTAGTGATACTATTGCAAGTTGTACAGTTTTATGTAATGTTCGTACATTCCACGTTGCGATACGATTTATATTATTTATTTTGTTTTTACTCCTGGAGATTCTTCGCACCCCTGTCCCATTTAAGAGACGCTAGGCACTCGGGGCCGTTTCGTTTTGATTTTTCATTTTGTGATTTTTCTTGAGATATCCTTTGGGATCTTTAATGTAGTGGTTTCCCTTGCCTTCTACATCCTTAATGCCGTTGACCCATTATTTGTTGATTCATCCGCCTTTGGGGCCGATTTCTCAACCCCAGGACAAAAGAGTGCCCTGCCACTTACCAACTCATCCGCCCTAAGCCGTTGGTCAGTAAGTGGGGGATGGCTTATACCGGCAATCTCTCAGTCTTAGAATAGAGTAAAGATTTGAAAATAGTGACCCGTCTGCCTTCGGAAACCTAATCGCCATTCGGGGTCGGAAAAAGCAAGAGGTGGTCAAGGGAGACCGATAGAACAGATTAAAGTCATTTTAACCCAAAACAAGTTGAAGTAAGGTAAAATGTGAAGGCCCTCATGATGTGCTAGGTGCCAATATGAGAGTATGACTATTATACAATATTGTGTTCCCGCTCATGCTTCGGGTAGTGATCCATGCCTTTAAGTGACTTCAATCTACTTACACATATGCAACCAATATTCGTTTGTCTTGTCTAGGCTTCTTTTGACGTACCACCGACCTCGCTCCGCTATCAATATTGATATTCTTCTTCTTGATGACGTGCCTATCCGTTACGAATGTTGGCGATCATCATGGCAATCTTTATCTTATCTGCAGCAGCGCGGAAAAGCTGCACAGGTATTGTATTGAACCAGATTCTGAGGTTCTTTAACCAAGATGTTCTTCTTCTTCCTGGACCTTGTTTTCCAAATATTTTTCCTTGCAGGATGGCTTGAAGGAGAGCATATCTGGATTCATTTCGCATAATATGTCCGAAGAACTGTAACTTTCGAGATTTGATGGTGGTCAGTACCTCTCGGTTCTTATTCATTCTTCTGAGGACCTCCTCATGTATGACTCGGTCAGTACACGGGATCTTAAGTATTCTCCGATAAAGCCACATCTCAAATGCTTCTTCACATATCTTCGTTCAAGGTCCACGATTCAACACCATAAGAAAAGGACAGAGAAGACGTAGCATCGCAGCATTCTTACTTTTGTATCAAGAGAGAGGTTGTGACTCTTAAAGAAGGCCCCATCCGATTGAAGGTGGATCTAGCTTTTCCGATGCGTGCTCTAATCTCCTGGTTGTTGGTCCATTCTTCATTTATTATGGTGCCGAGGTAGTTGTAGTGCGTCATCTTCTACAGGGATGGTTGACGTAGAGTTGACCTCTGTTATCTTTTCTTGCTAATTTCATAAGCTTTGTCTTCTTAACGTTTATATTGAGTCCATATTGTTGACTGTAATACTGATTTTGTTCATAAGAACTTGTAGGTCTTCTAAGTTGTCCGCAAATACTATGGTGTCATCTGCATATCTGATGTTGTTTAGCCGGTAACCATTTAGTAGAATACCTTTTTCAGTTTCGTGCAAAGCTTCGATAAATATTATTTCAGAGTACAGATTGAGGATTAGAGGAGACAAAATGCAGCCTTGCCTCACTCCACGCATATTTTTCATATAATCAGTGTGTTCACCTTAGAGTTGAAGTCTGATTGCTGTCTGATTCCAGTAAAGATTTCTAATTATTTTCAGATCTTGGTTGTTAATTCCTGTTTCTTTTAGTATTTGCATCATCTTGGCGTGCTGTACTCGATCAAACGCTTTCTCGTAATCAACCAGACATCGTATACGTCGCAGTTGTCGTCTCTGCATCTCTGGAATAAGACTTGTACTGAGAACAAAGCCTTTCTAGTACCAACAGCATTTGTGAACCCGAACTGGTTGGGGGAAATTTGACCTTCCCACAGCTTGTAGATTCTCTTATGAATTATCTTTAGAAATAATTTCAGAAGATGACTCATGAGGCTTATAGTTTGGTAATCTTCGCATTTTTTGGTTCCTGGTTTTTTCGGAAGTCCAATAAACTCGGACTTGGAGCAAGGAACGACAGGAGAGAGAGAATGACCGAATTCTGCCAACAACACAACATGGTAGTGACAAATACATGGTTTAAATTACACCCTCGCAGATTGTACACTTGGACTTCACCACAACACAATGAAAACGGAGTAATCCGTAACCAAATAGATTACATATTGGTCAACAAAAGATATCACAATACAATCATCAGTGCAAAAACATATCCTGGAACTGACATCAATTCCGATCATAATCCTGTTGTTGCAAAAGTTCGCGCAAGATGGAAACTAATAAAGAAACAAAAACCTCAACACCAACTATTAGACATCCAATTATTGAAAAACGACACCATACATCAGACAGTAAATAAAGAATTAAACAAAAATTTAGGAAATATCGACCTCAATAGAATTAGCGAGTACGATGACAAAAACGTTCTGTGGAAAACTATTAAAGAACAAATGAACAATGTAACGGAAAAACATCTAAAAGTAACACCTAGAAATAACAAACAGGAATGGATGATAGAAGAGATTTTACAATTAATAAGCAAACGAAGAGAATCTAAAGGAAAAAATGACAAGGGCGGAGAAGACTACAAAAGACTAAATAGAATAATTCGCAAAAAAATATCCGAAGCAAAAGAGAAATGGCTGGAAACAAAATGCGTTGAAATAGAAGAACTGCAACAAAGGCACGATTTTTTTAATTTACATAAAAAGGTAAAAGAGTTTACATCGACTACCAAGAGAACGACTTTTCACACCATGTTGAACAAGGATGACAAACTGCTAGAAATCAACGGAAGATAAACTGAAAGAATGGGAAAACTATATTAAAATTCTTTTTCACGACATACGAGAAGAACCAAGATTGGAAAATATCAATGAAGGGCCAAAAATTCTGAAATATGAAATCATAAATGCAATTAATCATCTCAAAACAAATAAAAGCCCAGGTCCACACGGAATATACCAGAAACGTTCAAATTAATCAGCGAAGAAAATATCGAATTATGTGTCTTTTATTCAATCGCATTTATGATACAGGTAAAAATACCCCAAGATTTCAGAATCTTTTACAGGCCAGAAAATCTTTCGAAAAAATAAAAAACCTGCTTTGTGATTCTCGAATAAAACTCGAAATTCGATTACGTTTATCAAAATGCTACGTCTGGTCGACTCTTCTATAAGCAGTTGAAACGTGGACCCTTAAAACATCAACCGTAAATAAATTGGAGGCCTTTGAAATGTGGATCTACCGGAGAATACTCAAAATTTCATGGACATCGCATACCTCAAACGAGGAAGTGCTGCATAGAATAGGCAAGGTAAGAGAACTTTTTAACATAGCAAAAGTTAGAAAAACATCATACCTAGGCCACATACTGAGAAATAATAAGTACCGATATGCCTAACTTATAGTGAAAGGAAAAATCGAGGGAAAGAGAGGCCTAGGAATGAAAAGACTATCGTGGCTCAGAAACATCCGACAATGGACAGGGCTAAATTTTGAACAGCTAATAAGAACAGCTGAAGATAGAGAAGAGTTTAAAATTGTAGTAGCCAACCTCCATGAGGAGAGGGCACTTTAAGAAGAAGAAGAATAAACTCAGATTTCAGCCATTCTATTGGTATTTCTCCAGATTTGTATATGTTGTTGAATATCTTTGCGATTATTGCTATTGATTCGTTGTCCATTAGTTTGAGTAGTTTTGCTTGTATATTATTAGGTATAGGGTAGGGCTTGTATCAATATTGATAATAGTAAGCATGAAATAAAATAATTTTCTGTTATGGTTAAAAAAAATTAAGAGATCTTTTTATTCTCAAACTTCTTTCTCTAGTCTCTAATATTTGGTTGATAATATTTCTAATAAAAATTTATTTACAGACGAAAATACAAAAGACACAAAAATAACTGCTTCAAGTGAAACTATTCTACATGGTTTAAAGAAATACACCAACTACAGCATGGAAGTTTTGGCTTATACTTCAGGAGGTGATGGTGTTAGAACGACTCCGATTCATTGTCAAACCGAACAAGATGGTAAGTACCAAATTGATTATATTTGTTCGTCGACTTGATTCCAGACTAGTATTCATTTGATTTGCGTATGTTTAGTTCCAGACATTTGAGAACTACTTGGAATTTTGCATACATTTCAAAAAACAAATTATGTTTTATATAATGTTATTACTTTCTTCCATATTTACTTAAGTTTTCCTTTGTGAGCAGTGAACACACATTACATTACAAGTTTTCTTGTGTTTTAGCCCCTGAAGCACCAACTGCAGTGAAGGCTTTAGTGATGTCAGCCGATTCTATCCTGGTGAGCTGGAAACCTCCAACCGAACCCAACGGTATTATCGAGTACTACATGGTTTACTACAAAGAAACTGGAAATAACGACGACAAACCCAAATCCCAAAAAATCGTACCAAACTTAAGAAACCAGAATTTAAGTTTCCAGGCAAAGAATCTAGACAGCAATTTGAAATATGAGTTTTGGGTCACCGCAGCTACCACCATCGGCGAAGGACAACCATCGAAGAAAGTTACTGTTTCTCCTAGTACAAGCGGTAAGTTTGATACAAGTACTTGAAAAATAGTTTAGATCGATGCTCCTTCAAAATATTTGTTGTTTAAGACAAAATGGTTGGCTTAAAATATAAGGTAAAGTGGGGTATCTGTGGACGGAATATAAAAAGTTTTATTTTGAAGTTACTTATGAAGTTAGTTGTGTTTCAAACCACTTTCTTTTTGTTTGTAGATATGTATTAGTAATATATTAATATGTTCTCTTCAATAGAAGATGAAAAATGAATTGAGAGAGAAGAGTATTGACATTCTTCTTTCACATGTAAGGGTTCACAGTTACCCGTTAATTTAGGGTAACTGTGGACCCTGACGGGGAGACTGTGGTCTGCTTGGTAAACTTCACTTTGTAGTTATTATAATAAAAGGTCTGGTTCCGAGGTTTTATATCTGTTCTTTGAGCCTTGTTTCCTTTTATAATGGGTAGGATGCTAATATGGTTCATCAACTTTCCTCTTTTATCCGGGCTTGTGACCGGCTGTGGGCATGAACGTGACTTCTGAGCTACTTAATTCACCCAGTCATCGCGCTCATAACCCCCAGGCAGAATGGAAAACTAACACAGTGTATACCAGTACAAAGCGAAGTCAGACAGGGTGACTCGTTGAGCTAACTTCTCTTTAATATAATAAAGGACGAAATAATACAAGCAGTACGTAAAGGTCATGGCTACAGAATGGGGAACAAAGAAATCCAAATATTATGTTATGCAGACGATGCCGCATTAATCTCTGAGACAGAAGACGATCTCCAAAGATTAACATATATCTTCAATACAACAACTAAGAAATACAATACTGGAAATACAAACTAAGGTGTAAAATCGAAATTGATGGGAAAGTAATAAAGCAGGAAGGTTTTGATATCTGGGGATAGATATAACTAGTTACGGAGATGTTGAAGAAGAAGTACGACAACAAAGTTTAAAAACAAGTAAAGCGGCGGGTTCTCTTAATGACACAATCTGGAAGAACAAACACCTAAGACAAGACACAAAACAAGAATCTATAAAGGAGCAATCAGACCTATATTAACATACACGGCGGAGACAAGACCTGACACATCTAAAACGAGACGACTGCTAGAAACAACAGAGACGAAAATATCATGTCATGATTATCTGTCATTCGAGCCACGTGACCTGCCCAGTTCCATTTCAGTGTTGCTACTCTCTCTACTGCATCAGCCACTCCTGTTCTTTGTCGTAGCTGGCGATTTGGGATCTTGTCTCGTAGTGAAAGGCCCAACATAGCACGCTCCATCGCCCTTTGACACACACGGATCTTTTGAACTGTTCTCCTTGTCATGGTCAACGTTTCCGCACCGTAAGTCAACACTGACAAAACACATTGATTAAAGTTTTTTCTTTTTTGAAAAAAGTTAAAAAAGTTTTTTTAAGTTAAAAAAACGTTCAGTATTCCTAATATCTTATCATAAGCGAACAAGATAGGCTCGTTTTCCTCACGAAATTTGAAGGCATTTCCCACATATCGTTTCAAACATTTGATTATCACAGCTTTTTTCACTGCATTAATTTGACATATTAGTCCAACCGAATTAATAACTGCTCGTTTGTTTATTCGTACCACGATTATTTTCCTGGTATTATATTATAGACAGTGGGTTCTTGAACTTGAGGTTCAGCACCTTCTTATATTTTTATTTGCAGCTTCATATGAGTCATCACTCTCTTCTAAACGACTTCTTCGGAATTTTCATCGTCTCTACTTAATTTTGATTGTTTCTTGAATGTATTATTCGAAGCTTTTCTCTTAGTTTTTGATAACTGTAGGTGTTCTAAATAGGTTTTAGTTATGATCGCCTCAGGAACATCTATTCTTTTCCTTCTCCTTTGATGTAGCTTCGGTGAAGGTTTCACTGTTGCTAGTAGAATGTTCATCCAGGATGCAATGGAGGTTGATGCAATGCAATTCTGGCTTTCTGTAGTAGAACTACAAGAGGTTGTACATGGGATCGTAGTTTGCTTACCCGTAGAACTTTGCTCGTCAGTGATAGTTTCAGGAATGTTTTTCTCTTCATAATATCGTTTTAACTTTTCGGGATCAAACTGTTCTTTGTTTTTTGATCAAGGTTTTCTTTGAAAATGATGAAAAAAACTTTTTACTATTACATATAAGTAATATCGACTTACGAAAAATAAGTACTGGAAAACTACATAGGTACAATGAGTAAAATGGGTTACAGTTTTTCATTTTTAAAATATTCCATTTTGTTTATGTAATTTCGAATAATTCGTATCTTTTATGTATCATTACTACTAATTTCCACCTCAAAAGCTAGATCCACCTTTAACCGGATGGAGGCCTTCATCAAGAGTCACAACCTCTCTCTTGGTATAAAAGTAAGAATGTTGCAATGCTACGTCTTCTTTGTTCTTTTTTATGGTGTTGAATCGTGGACCTTGAACGAAGATATGTGCAGAAAATTGGAAACATTTGAGATGTTGCTATAGTGAAGAATACTTAAAATCCCATGGACTGACCGAGTCACCAATAAGGAGGTCCTCAGAAGAATGAAGAAGAACCGAGAGTTACTGACCACCATCAAAGCTCGAAAGTTACAGTACTTTAAACACATTATGCGAAATGAATCCAGATATGCCTTCTACAAGCCAACCTGTTAGGAAAAATATTTGGATAACGGGGTCCAGGAAGAAGAACGTCCTGGTTTAAGAACCTCAGAACTTGGTTCAACACAATATCAACATATCACCTCACTACAATTATAGTGTCATAAGGAAAAAAATGAAGGACAGATAGTACCCTGGATATAAGCGGAAAACTTCTTATTTGCCGATATCTATGTTATTGTTTTTAACAAAACAAACTCGTTGCTTTGCCTGAGGATGAGGCAAATATTGTAAGCCTCAAAATCGGTCGCTGGATGTAAGCGGAAAACTTCTTATTGGCAATATCTATATTATTGTTTTTTAACAAAACAACCTCTTTGCTGGGCCTGAGGATGAGGCAAATTGTAAGCCTTAAAACCGATCGCTTCTGTAAAACTTTGAAAGTAAATATTAGATTGTGAGTATTGACCTTTTTAATATATCTGTTCAATTATGGACTCACACTTGCAACCCTTTTATCATCATAATAGATAATTATTATAATAGAGTCAAAATAATATTAAATTTACAAGTTGATAGAAAACAATAAACACCTTAAAAATGTTCACAGTTCTAAGTTTATTTAAATAGCACTATAATTATAAACCAACACTATAATAAAATTATACTAACACACACATATATAGAGCTATTAAAAGTAAAAATTATATTTAGTATAATAATTAAATTCAACAGACATAAAATGTGATTCGTAAGGATTACTGAATCCATATCTGTTAAAACTGCAAATTAAGCGTTTTTGTTTAGAGGTGTAGATTGTCGTTACTTGTGAGTTTCTACTAGTTACTTTTGATAGGATTTTGTATATAATCAGTTACAGTATAAGTGATTTTGTAACAAATAGATACCTCTTCAGCATCTCTGAGATATTGGGAATGAATTGATCACGCGTCCCTAGTGTTGATATTCTACTTTTCTGTTAGGCGAATATAATATAGTTCCTACCAGAAAGATTAAACAAAAACTTTATAAGATCTTGTTAATTAAAAAAAACATTAATGAGCGCCAATTTTCTAAACATATATCTGAGATTTTTATGATATTTCCTCTATTGTCTTCGTTTTGTTTTAAATCTCTATTCGTATGATTTTATTTTATCATCATAAGTGGCTCGACAATCCGTTGTGGTTGCTTGGCCTGCTCACAAAGAAGTCGATTTCTGACAACTTTTCTTTCATCTTCTGACCCTTAGAATCTGTAGGTCTTCTTACACATCATCAATCCATCTCCTTCGTAGTCGTTCTTTACTTCTTGTGCCTCTGATTTTGAAAATGTTAATCTCTTCGTGTATTCGTGACCTGACATCCTATCAATGTGTCCAGCCCATCTAAGTCTCTGCACTTTAACGAATTTCACAATATCTGGATCGGTGTATAACTGATATAGTTCAAAGTTGTATCTTCGACTCCATAAGCCACTTTCATTTAAGGCCCCAAAAATAATTTTTATATTACTTTATATTTATTTAACTAATTTCTACATAGACTTTGTTTCTAATTGGTTTTTATTTCCGTTTATCAATTATTTGTATTATGTGATGGTCTACATGTTCAGAACTGTAAAACTAACATTTTTTGTTCTTTAGTGCCAGCCAAGATTGCTTCCTTCGATGATACATTCACAACTACCTACAAAGAAGACGTAACCTTACCTTGTCTAGCAGTTGGAGTCCCAACTCCAGTCATAACATGGACCATTAAAGGTGTCAAATTCTCCGCTAATACAAACGATAGAGTACGACAACACCCTGATGGGTCTCTCTTCATTCGTGATATCACCCGTTCTGACGCTGGGGAATATTCCTGCAAAGTAGAAAACGATTACGGACAAGACTTCGTTACTCACCATCTCATTGTAAACGCTCCACCAAATGCGCCAATTGTTCAACTAACTTCTACAACGACGAATTCGTTGACTGTCAAACTGAAGCCTCATGACACCGATGGAGAGCCAATTCATGGTACACCATTCATTACAAACCCGAATTTGGTGATTGGGAAACTATTCAAGTGGGACCAAACGTTGACAAACACACTATCGAGAAGTTGCTGTGTGGTACAAGGTATCAGCTCTATGTTACAGCCTATAACAGGTAAGAATCACTAGGTTTTTATACTTTATGGATTAGAATAAGCAGTTCTTCCAAAATATACCTATTTAACACCAACTTTTAATCATTTTCATTACTGGTAGTAAATTATTATGTCATTTAGATGCAATTTTTTAACGTAAATTCTAAATGTACTATCAAAATTGTTTTAGTTATCATATTTAATGAGTAAATAAGATTTTTCTACTTTTCTCGGAACCGGCAATAAAAAATAACTAAAAAACAACGTTAATACTGCTAACACGGAAGCTTCAGCACCTAGTACGGACTACGTACTAGGCTACTAGAATATATAGCAATTATGATCTTACCTTATTTTCTTCTCTTTTTTAGTATTGGAACCGGAGATCCATCGGACAACCTCAATCCCAAAACGAAAGGCGAAAAACCGATCATCCCAAGTGCTGATAAATTCATTGAAGTCTCATCGAACAGCATCACGTTGCATCTCAACGCTTGGTCAGATGGAGGATGCCCCATGTTGTACTTTGTCATTGAACAAAAGAAAAAGTAAAAATTTTAATATATATTTTTCGTAATTAGTAAGTAGTTAGTTTATTAGTATTTTATTCATAGGTTTTACTACCTTGTTTATTCAGAGTTATGCTATTTTATACAGAACGCTGAAGGAATCTGAGGCTTGCTCCAAGTGAAACAAACATAAAATGAACTATTTGCCGAACAAACTAAATGAACTACTACAGCAATATTTGTTAATATAATGAGGCCGGCAATGGCTCATTTTATCTTTAGAAACTTCTTTACTACAGTAGATGAGTAGGCGACATACTCCGACAGAAGCAATATGATCTCTAGCCCAGATCAAGGCCAGAACCGTTGGGAAAAGAGGTCATTTTATCGACATGAAGAGTTAGCAGCAAGTGGAGGCGTTGGACAATTATGTTGAAATGCTGAAATGAGGCTTGAGACTGGCCATGGCTCATTTTGATCATTAGAACCTTCTTTAATCGTTACAGGTGCCAACTTTAATTGTTACTGGTCAATTTCTGAGACTAGGAAGTGGAATCGAGTGGGCTAAACTCTCAGAAAGAAACCAAATATGATTCCCAGCCAAGTCCTAGGCTAAAAATCTTAGGAAAATTGTCGTGTGCTCTACCGATGAATAAAAGAATTTACAACCATTTTTTTGTTTTGTTTTAATCTATGCCAATTAATTCTTTCACAGGATCAGCACAGAATGGATTCAAGTCTCCAACCACGTCAAACCAGGAGGTAACTTCGTCCTGCTAGATCTAGATCCAGCTCAATGGTACCATTTGCGAGTAACGGCACACAACAACGCAGGATTCAACGTTGCCGAATACGAATTCGCTACACTTACCGTTACCGGAGGTAAGGCCATTTTTGTATATATGTACAAAAGTCGGTTTGATTATCTTTTTGCTTGGTTGTTCTTTCAGTTGGTTCATGCGGAATAAGTACAAAATCTTTCAATTGAATGAAATCGTTTCATGATTCACTGTTATCTTGCATTTGTAAATTGGAATTGTTGTTTACAATATGTTTGACAGTTTTATCAACGCAAAAACAAAAAATAATAAAGTTCAATACAATAATTTCAAGCGAATCATTTATCTTAATCTGGTCTAAAATATTCCAGATACTGTAGTGTCTTCTTTTTCATTATTAATGTTTTCTTTTTTGTTTGTTTTTCACTTTCAATTCCTGCTTAGTTATTTTTTATTTCCAGGAGATTTTCGAGATCTTTTGATATGTATTAACTGCCTTCACAGTGCTTATGCACTGTTGTGCCTCACTCAATTCACTATTGATCTTTAAATTTATTTGAAATTAGAATATTAATGAAATTATTATCTTTATAAACTTTGACAAGGATATCAGGTTTATTTTTTGTCAAATACTATTAGAGGTACTATTAGAGGTATTGGAAATACAGCGTGAAGTCCATCTACCAAATCTACTCTTCAATCAGATCTATCTATTTACATTCCCAGTATACTACGATGTAGTAAGTTCATCATGTTTAGCAACTGACATACGCCATTTTGAATTGAGTAACAGTTAGCGGAAATATTTATGTGAATCTACGTATTTAAGATATATCGTCATCGTTAGTGCCCCACTATTTTTTGTGTCTGAGCTGAACAAACGAGTAACACCAAAGCAGAGACAACAAAGATAGAACTTGTAGTTCAAATAGTAAATGCACCCTCTACTTCTCACTTTGTCACTGCGCATTTGAAAGATCAGACTCCAAACGAAACTTGCTTAACTGTACTTCACTAAATTCTTTCTTGTATTTTTCAAAAGCACACCTTGCATTGGTACAGTTTGGCAGATTTATTTTTTTTCCTAAAATGCCCAAAGAGGACTAAAGTAGAAGCAATAAAGATAAAACACTATTTCTCGTTTTCCATTGCGAATCTGAAGGCCAGACGTCAGTGAAACTTACTAAATATTTTACTCTATATTCCAAAGACTTGTCTTAGCCGTACTTTTGTACAGTTTGACCTATTTCTTTTTTTTTTTAATGAACACAATGCTTGAGAAGTAATAAAAATAAAAGTCGTAGTTGGTGCTCCAACTTCTTGTTTTATCATGGCGCATATCAAGGTCAGACGTAGGTGTAACATTAAACTGTACTCTAGTCAACTTTTTCTTGTATTTGTTGCATGCTTGGCCTTTCATCTACAGTCTTATCCGTACCTTATTGGCGGCTGGTCTAAAAAGATCTACTGAGCTGCAACAATACCACTCTCTTAGGTTTCTTAGCCAGGAAATTCTTCGTCTTCCTATTGATCTTTTACCCTTGATTTGAGCCCGAATATGTTATATTTTGCACCTCTGGTAATGTGACCTAAATATTCCAGTTTTCTTGTTTTGATGTGCTTTATGACCTCGCAATCCTTTTGTAGCCTTCTTAACACTTATGCATTTGTAACTATCCTACTACCTACCGACTCATCCGCCCAAAGCTGTTAGTCGGTAAGCAGGGGATGGCTTATACTGGCAATCACTCGGTTTCTATCTGCATTAGCCATCAACATTGATGTTGCCCACCTTCTACCACGTGGAGGTGCAGATTCTGATTTTTCCTTCATCGAGATTAAGACCTTTTGGCATTAATCTCTCCAGATCTTTAGAAAGTTGTATGCCTTTGTATGAATTTGATGCGCAAATAAAGACACTAAATGAGGAACAACAAATCTAGAATTATTAGTTCCAATAGTGGATACTTCCACTATTTCTCGCTTTGTCATTGCGTATCTGAAAATCAGACGTTAGTGAAACTTGTCAAACAGTACATCAACCGTTATTTTTTTTGTAAGCGTTTCACCTTCCGGCAAGGAGCTACACTCTAGTTATCACAAATATATTTAATTTAATTGTAAATTATTATTTGATAGCTATATAGATAAAACTGTCAGAAATATATATTTACCTAATGATCAGTTGAATAAATTTGCTTGATTTTTAACCTCTTGGTGTTTTTAAATCTTAGTTTTTTTTATTACCAATATTTTTCCCTACTATAAAAGGGTTACCATGTATTCTGTTAAAATATATGCATGATATCCTTGAATTGGTTATATTAGTTGTCTAAAATTGCATTTTTGTTGATTAATTCGTATTTTTTTTTGTCTTATAAATTGAACATATTAAAATTTGTTAAAATACTTGTAAACAAAATCTCATTTGCCACTGTTGGCGCGTATTTGACTGATTTTATTAGTATGATTCATTGTTGCTCTCGCCCATTTCCTTGTTTCTTTAGTATTTCTGGGATTTAAATGAATAATTAGTTCAGTAGATTTGTTCATCCCTCGTCTCTTTTGTTTATCCTTCTAGATTGACTTGATAAGCACTTCGCGTGTGCCGCTGGTAAGAAATCAAACTCCGTATGGAAAAACTGACTTTATTGAATTAACATTACATAAATATAACGCTAATAAGTATTGTTTCGCTCGCTGGTGTCCACCGGCCTCGACTTCTCGTATTTGAGTCCTGTCGTCTTTGGAGTGCTTTTAGGGGCTCGTCTTATCTTCACATATGGCATAATATATCTTCCTACGCTACTATGTTGCCGGATTGTAAAATGCATAAAATAAACTTGAATTAGATAGAGGCGTGAACACCTTCCTTTGTGCCTATATCTTAATAACTTTTTCTATAATTCTTGGGCCACAATCACTGTAAGAGTAATTTCGTGGTATATTGACACACAACAGCTAGATATAGGCGGAAATACAAACTTAAAGACTGGATGGCTGGCCACCTACTTTGCCATTGGGCGACGTTCCAAAACCTGTTGATTTGTGGTTTCATTTTAATGCAAACTAACTGGTAAATTACGTATTTTTATGATATTTTGCGATGTGAATATTCAAACCGCAATTGCTTGATTAACTAGTACCAATTTTGGATTCAATGGTACATAGGTAAAATCGTTTATCTTTGGTGGTTATATGATGTCAAATATTGGTACAATGAATTGCTGATAGTAGCAAGTCCTTATAAGTTTGTAAGGCAAAAACTTATAAGGTCTTTGCTGACTACTATTGTTTTAGTTTTCTGAGATGAGGTTGTCATATTAAGTTCTTTTGCTCTTATGTTAAATCTGTGGACCAGTCTTTGCAGACTATCTTCATCTTGGGCTATCAATATTGCGTTGTCTGCGTAACAGAGTATTCTGATTTCTTTGTTTCTATAAGTTGGGCTTTCATGGGATTTCATGGGTTCTATAAGTTGTCCATCTATTCTGACTTCCATTTTGTTGTTTTGGTAGATGTTTTCGATCGTTTTTATAATATTTAAGAGAGCTTCTCTATTATACAGAAGATGAATTGCATATTTGAGTCTTACTCTGTCAAACGCTTTCTTTAGGTCAATCAGACATAGAAATGCTGGTCTATTATACTCTGACTGACTCAGAATCCTATATTTTCCATGTATTTTAGTGTATGAATCATAGTCTAGGTTTGAAATCGCGATAACTCAAGAACAGTGTTTCGTAGAAAAAAAAACTATTGATACTTTTTTGTAGAGAATTTCACGATCTACCAACTTCCCTTATCCATTTTTCGGTAGTCTATACGATTTAATAGATATCCTCCATAGACGGACGGACGTTGGTTCATTCAGACTCGTACATTTTCTTCATCTTTGAGTATATCAGTCACAAAAACCAAAAATTGTTGTACTTTTACCTGTCGCCTGTCACTTGTCACTGCCATGTTTATTAAATGGCCCCTGATAGGCTACATATGAACGCATTTTTGCGTATTTTCTTGGTTTGACGTTCTCTTAACCGGTTTTTCTTCCAGTTACCCGAAATTTGTTACCTTTAGGTTAGAGAGTTTTGACATAACATTTCTAATGACGTATTCAATCAAGGAAATTAATACAAAATTCAGCCATTTTGTCTGGCTTAACATTTCAGAACGATTTCTGTGGTATAAGTCGTTCTTTTCGCCATATTTGTGTGAAAACAGACATTAAGTTATAGATTTAGTAATAAATAGATTAGAATGATATAAATCTACGTTTTTTTTTCTGTATTGATTTAATGCATGTCGTCCAATTGAAAGATTTTGCATAGGTACCTATTAATTTTAAGTTTGTCTCACTGTTTATGTTCAAGTTTGCAGCACATGTTCTAAGAAAAACCGACAATCTTTTGTACATAATCATGAAATGTATCGTTAAGCTTATTAACTATTGACTCATTGTGCTTTCATACAGCAATAGTACCTGAATTTAATACATAGCGCTGCAAATCATCTACAACTTACTAATCCTTTGATTAAAATAACGACTTTAATTCATGTAGATATAGAAGACATAGAATGACATGTCATAGATCATTATGATGATTATTTTGAAGTAACTACTAATTTTGTATGCATTACTAACACCTATATACTTATGGTATTAATCATATATACTAAAAAACTAATATTTTTATTAATAATGCATGTGTGTAATCATACGTAGAAATGTCTTAATTATAAGTAATTAACAACTAATTACATACACTCTGATGATTAATAAATATTAGTATAATTAACAAATCGTCGTGGTTTTTTGATCCATCCGTTCTTTTAATTTGATGCTTCTGGTTCAGCGTGCCCGGTTTCCTCTAGGAGTTTTCCGTCTCTTTGGGCAGCTGTGAGAGCTTCTTCTTAGCAAACTGGATGGTTAGTCCGACAAAATTACTAATCTGCATATATTACAAAAATAAAGATTTAGTTCAGAATTTTTGGGCTTCTTTAGTAAAACGTGTGAAGGTGATCCGTGGCTTTTTTTCATCACTAGGTGGAGAATCTGCAAACAGATGCTGGAGGTAAACATTTCCGACAGAGCTGGGTTCC